AAGCTATACAACGATTCTAGCGCATTTTCCATGCTTCGTAATATTTCTGGAACGCTTCGACTGGGATGTCCGCGAGTACCCTCGTCACGATAGACAACCATTGGGCGTTTGGCTTCCGGGCAGCACTGTCATTATGCACTTTGACAATTTTAGCGTACGTTTCCGAAGCTGTTTCGCCCAATTTGGCGCAAAGTTTTATCTCGACATTTCGTTTTTACATTTTCGTGTCGAGCACCACGAACGCACGTTTACTCAACACGACACAGCAGGCGAACTAAACAAGCTAGAGCGATGACAAATATATCAATGGAGAGGAGAAAGATGCCGGGGGAAGGAAAAGTGAATTTCAAAGTCGAAGGGCTACCACAATCGCGGCAATATAATCAGTCTCATTGTTACACCTCGTATGTGGTGGCACATGCGGTATCAACTCGGCATGACTTCGGTTGTTGTGCGGTTACGCGAAAGCCGAAAATTACCTCAAACTGATCGAAGTTTATTTTCAAAATCGCTTAACAAGTGTCAGTAAGAATTAGCTAGTAACTAAATGTCAAAACGTGCTCTCTCGGGGCTAATTTTAATAGATTTTTGGCTCACCGAACGCGGCGCAGCAAAATTCAGTAAAAATTACTATTATTTTATATCAGCACACCAAACAGAACTAATATTTCATTTGTAGAATTTATGTTCCTAAGCTGAGTAGTTTTAAATATTTAATACATATATGTACAATATGTATATAATTGGCGCTTTGTGACCGCTGAATCGATTTTTGACCGATTTGTGGTATGCGTTTTGATGTTTTTCCAAAAAATGGAGGGACCTAAGCTGTTATGAGGGTCTTTTTTTCCATGACAGAAATAAACTCGGAAGACTTTACACCCCCTATCGAGGTGCAATCGCAATTAGAAAAATTAATTTTCTATAAATTAATAGTTAATAGGTATGGTTCATTACCTGATTAAGTGAATCTAGAATTCCCGGAGTACATACAATAATTGACCATAGAGTGGCATATGCAGAAATTGTGTCTTTATAACTTCGTTGTGGGATAATGTTTCTTATTAAGTTCAAATCCGCTCCCATCGAATTGTGATCATTTACTTCACCGTGGCCCAAAATTTATTCATATTTATAACTAGATTTTAATATAAGGAAATACATGAAGTTACTTGTGTGTTGTGTCGGATGGGATTGTAAATTAAGTTCTTTACCTACCGTTGTTAGAGAAACGAATGTTTTCGATAATATCAAAAGTATATCTGAAAAAACTGGGATCGTAGCATTGTACCAGGGAGTAAAAAGGCTGTCTAGTTTGAGGTAAAAGAGCCAGACGCAGAAAAGGTAATGACTCTCAGTTAAGTTTTTTATCAAATTATTTAACCATTCCAATACTCTTCCAAATTATAAGGGTGCTCTTTCTTTCGAAAATTCTTTCGTAACTAATCTACTGAATTTTAAACAGCACCCAATGGCAAAAGTGCGTTTGATCTCAAGCAAAGATAGTCAATTCAAAATAATAATCCATTACAGGAAAGGTTGCTACCGGAGGGTTAAAATGACTGAGAAAAATAAAACATCATACAATCATCGTAGAGACAGAAATTTAAAGTTTTTTATTGCACTATGAAGCAAATCTGTATACACGTATGTATACGAGTGTAAGAGGTTTTGTCCAAAATGACAGCCTAAGCCACGTAGACACCTGAAACTTAGAGGATATATTTTAAGTATGTCCTTAGTATTCTCATTATTACTTTTGCTTTAAATCCCTACATTATATTATTAAGTTTTACTATAAATTAAACATCTTAAAAACCAACTCAAAACTTTGTTAAAAGTTATCTCTAATTCCATTCGCGCGAAGTCGCGGCTAAATCATAGTATATTTTCTTGTATCCCATTTTGTATTTTGAAGTATTTTTAAATACCTTACTATAGTTGAGTTTATGTGTAAAACAGCATGCTATCGCGGAATTCATTAACGCGTTACTTCATATCCCTCCACTCCTACAGGTTTCACGTTGTGATTAATTTTTTTCATCTCACCTAGAACGATTTTTTCGAGTGCAGCTTCTAAGAGAAAAAACTCCTAATCAATTTGGCCAATTTCAAGAACAAACCTATACCGCTAAGTTTTGTCTTCGACTTCAGAATCGTAAGAGTTATAAAATCTTCTCCTATGCAAGGCAAAGTATGAGACTAGCCTGCAGCGTTCCAAATCAGAATCTACTTTATTAATTAGCGTACGTTCATTTGGGAACTAATCGAAAACCAGCGCGTAAAAACCATCTTTGCAAACTTTTTGAACAATTTTGTTATGTATCTCAGCCAAGTAGTACTGAAAGAGATTGATTTGTGTTGGTTTACTAATGTACTGAAAAAACCGAGATGGTGTTATTTGCCAGGAGGTACGAACCGCTTGTCTTTAAAGCACCCTAACTAAAGGGCGTGGAGATTATCTTCTCTCGCGAAGTCAAATACCTTGGGATAATCTTAGATAGCAAACTAAACTAAAGCCGAAAAATCAAGGAAAGTTCTAACGGCACTCCACGCCTGCAAAACGACGATAGGAAAGATATGGGGTCTAAGACCGAGTATCGTGCACTGGATATTCACATAGGTAGACCAATCCTACTCACCGTCTGGTGGCCAGCACTTGATAAAATCACCTTCAACCTTGAGAGTTCAACGATCGGAATATGAACATCCAAATCAAATCTGAACTGAAGGGATGTTCTGAAATTTCCTTTTATTTGTCTGTTTCTGTGTCTAAAGAACGTTGTAGGGTTGTCCAATCCTGCGGTGTCCTTGCAGGTTTACTGTGTAACAGGGTGTTAGCCCCAGTAATAGGTCAAGCTATTATTATATTTAGCTATCTTTGATCTGATCGTAAGAGACTTTTATGATATAAAAATAGCTTGGCTATCTTTATATATATAAATTATAATTCCGCTTGGATAACATTGAAGTGATCTGCTAGTGGGAAGATGATACTGGTATCTAATTTTGCTGAAAAGACGAGTGGTAGGTGGAACTCTTTTGTCTAGTTTCATCCGTTGGTATTGAAACTTATCTGTGTATACTTGCCCTGCCTATCCCTATCCCAGTCCTCTCTGGAGAGAAAAGCAATATTAAGTAATGCATTTAAATTAATTTCCTTTTAAATTTATTTCCAAAGGATTCCGTAGTGTTGGGTAGAGATGATACTAAGTATATTAAAATGCCACTTATTACAAATACCCAATGGGGAAGATTTCCTTACTGCTTGTAGCCATCTAGTTTAAAGGTGGCATAAAAAATTCTAAGAGTTAAAAATGAAGCTAAAAGTATAAAGCAAGCAACTCATAAAAAATATCAGAGCTTCCTTTATTAAAAAAAAGTTAATTAATAATTTTTAATGTTCTTGATATTAAATTTTACCATTTTCAAAAATAGGAAAATGTATAAATATGTATTTATGAATTAAAAAAAAAACAGCAGAAATATACTCAGAATTTCAATGCTGTTGGATCTTAAAGATCTTAAAAAATTATAGAAGCTGAAGCTAATATAGGCCGAGCTAATTATGGAGTTCGTCTTAATGTTCGTTCAATAAATGGAGAAACCTACATTTCATTCTAATCCGCGTTAAAGCTTTAATTCGAATCCTGGCCTTCCGAATGGCAGTACGTTCTGCTAACCACTCGACTTTTGGTGCCGCCAATATCGTTTAATAAATAAATGTCTAATACTATGTAATTCTATAAACTACAAACCAATATGCACAATTTTTGCTATCCTCTCTGGCTTGATCTTTCACAAGCTTTAGCCTTTGCTCAGACTTTGAAAACGCGGTTTGTTTTTGGTTTACATATCTAACAGCTTTAGTTAACATTCATATTAAAAAGCATCACTGAAAAAGAGACTTTCCTACATTAGGAATTGATATTAAAATATAGTAATCATTTTTTTTATATCATATATATTTTTATTATAATATATTGTTATAGAACAAAGAAAAATAGTTGAAATGAAAGCTGTTTCGTAGATCAACACATCTCCTCATCAGACTTCTTTGGCAGGGATCGAACCACCGCATCCTGACCTAACAAGCGAATGTTCTACCATTGCGCTAATATCATCCATGTAATCTGTTGTTGTATTATTCAATTCATTATTAACCGACAACTATTAAATTCGCTAATTTAGCCGCTATTTTCTTACTAACGAAGCGTGATGCTTAGTAAAAACTATAACAAAAAATACGGCTGAACAACAATTAACAATAATAATTAAAGTTAATATAATTTTGATGAAAATAGGCATCATGCCGTAGGTCTATCACCCATCTTATTCCAGTTGCCGTCCTACATCATAATCGTTAACAAACTTTTAAGAACAATAATTCTCTGACATTCTTTGACAGTAAATACTCCAAGAAATATACTTTCCCCTGCGATAAAAATATTGAACAAGCTAGTTCAGACACAAATATTCTAAAAAAAATTATTAAATTAAGTTGGAAAAAAAAACTAAAATGGCAACACTGCCTCATAATCATAAACCTTTTTCAGTATTTTTTCAAAGCTCATATTGGAATAACACGCCGCGAAATGTATAAATACATTTTCTGCGTGTTCACCTTGAGGTGTGAATACCTTCTATTGACTTCTTCTAGTAGCACTTATTGCTTTTAATGCCAATTGTCTGCAAGAAAAGTCAGGTAAACAAACTTTGGCATGTAATTCTAACATACCCACATACATATGTACATACATAACAACTAATAAATACTTCAACAAATATAAAAGATTACAAAAAGACAAGATATTATTTTCAATAAGATAATTAATCGCTGTTCGGTGACATTTTATTATTAATAAGTTTTGGTAATTTGACACTAAAATAGAAAGAAATGAAAGGCCCGATAATGTTCGACCAATTTGAGTGTGTACACACACATATATTTTCAGATTTGTGCAATTTAGTTTTTTACGTAATTTATCTTTTTTCTATAGATAACAAATATAGGCATTGTTGCACTGACTACACTTCAAATTAAGGAAAAAAACGTTATTAAATCATTTTAAATTCTACCACAAAACATGTAACAACTACGTAATTGGAAAAAGTAGACAAAAACTGCACAAATTATTTAAAGAAAAAATGAAATTTTCATTTGTGCTCCTGCTATTGTTGGTAATTCGTTACAATTTGGGTGCCGTTATTTCAGGTAAGTAAAAATTATTAACTGTAAAAAGTGAGTGCAGAATTTGATTAGTAATTTCGTTGCAGACATTGTGAGCTCTTGGAACAAGTCCGAGACGTATCCAAAGATATGTACTCCCTTCAATACAACAACGGCACAGACCAGTAGCACATCGTGTCCCACACTCGCGTCTACAGACTCATTAAAACAAACGCAATTGATTTCTCGACTCACAGCGCCTTGCCGTTATGACCGTTTTGAGCCACCATTTCCGGTTTATGAAAATAATTGCTCAGCAAATCAACCGCTAGATATTTATCTGCGGATTTATGTTTATGATTTAAGAATAACCAATGCAGCTGATGTGGAATTGAAAATATTTGGCTTTTTACAGCTGCGTTATACTGATTTTAGATTGGCCTTTGGAGTCTACGCACCAAAACGCTCGCAGCCAATATTGGGCGATGCGCAGCTGCGTGAGAGAATTTGGGTACCGCACATACTATTTGTGAATGAGCAAGACTCCGCCATATTGGGCACCGGTGGCAAAGACATTTCAATAAGGATCATGCCTGACGGTATGTTGACCATATCCACACGTATTCAAGTGACACTGTCATGTGCGATTGGATTAAGTAAATTTCCTTTCGACGATCAACAATGCACAGCAGTGATCGAAAGTTGGTTGTATAATTCGTCCGAGATAATGTTGCACTGGGAGCATGATGCGCCCGTCACTTTTGAACAAAATTTGCATCTGAGCCAGTATAGCTTAGAAAATACTTGGAGTAATGAAACTGTCGCCCATGCAAGGAAGGGTGAGCTGCGGTATGCGCTGTTGGGTGGTAACTACAGTTCAATAAGTTTTACAGCTTACTTGAATCGAAAATCACTTTTCTACACAATGGATTACTTTCTGCCCTCAATAATGCTTGTTTGCATGTCGTGGGTATCCTTTTGGCTACAAGCAGATCAAACACCAGCCCGAACCACACTGGGAACAAGCACAATGCTTTCACTATTTACGCTTACTTCCTATTATGAGAAACAGTTCGGGCGTAAGAGTCATGTGCAATTTTTCGAAATTTGGTTTTTCAGTTGTACGTTCTTCATTTTTGGCAGCCTAATGGAATTTGCTTTTGTAAATACCATATGGCGTCGTAGCGGTTGCTTGAGTCTGAAGAAGGTGAACAGTAAATATATTTTAAAATCAACATTAACTCCAAAAGTTACGAAAAGAAAGTTTTATGATTGCGAAACGGATGGTCGTATCAATTTTTATAATAGGAATACTTGTAATTTGCCATCGAATAAAGTTGAAATCAACGTCATTGGAACCGATAGTCCAGACGCAAATAATCAAAGCAAAGTGAGCCAAGACGATGATTCATGGTCGAAGATGACTCCTCACGAGGTTTCACTTTGGATTGATCGTAAAGCAAGATTCGTATTTCCACTAATGTTTATTATATTTAATGCTATTTATTGGGCTTTCGTGTTTTGCTCCTAAATTTTTGTAATTCGACAATTAAAGAGTTCTTGGATATCTATTAACCAATTAATAATTTATCTTCTCATTAGTTTTAAATTCCTTCCTTTTATAATTATATGATCTGGTATACAAGAATTTTCGGGACTCGACCTCTGCAGAAAAATGTCTGGTCTGGAGTCGGTGCAATTGTTCCTTACGCAATTTAGCATTCACTGAATATTTACATTTGCTGTAAATTCCGTCGGAACCCGAAGAGAATCATATGGACAATTTCTGTTTGCGTTGGTGGTAGTGTTTCGTCTGAGCTATCCTCAGTTATCTTGCGTTTTCTCGTCTTCATTTTAGCCGAACGCTCCGAAATTTCAAACGAAAACTTACAAAATAACCGAACTTTTGTTAATCCCCTAGTAATTAAGAGTGGGAAGAAAAATTTGTTACTTATGCTTATACAATAAAAACAATGTAATATAAATTTGTATCTTGTATTATATTTTATAAATTAAATTACGTTAAATTCTGGTTACGAATTTTCATAAGGTCTAGTTATATACATATATAATATAATTTTCCGGGCGAGTCTCGTATCTAAGTTTATTTTATGCCAAGATATTTTACAACATTTGCTTGGGGAATATTTCTACCATTTAAACGTATTGCTGCGTCAATAAATATTTCATAGCAATACTCCTTGACCTCAAGTGCTTTCTTAATTTTATGAGTATTTGGTTGACTGGTTTTAGTGTAACATATTTTTCACGAAAACCGAACTGGTGTTCTGGTATTACTTTGGTGTGATGGAGCAAAGAAGATAACTTATTATCAGCTGTTTATTTTGCTTCGTTATTTATATAATTTATTTGCATTTTATTTCTTCTCAAGAAATTTTTACTCCATTGAAATAGAGAAAAAGGCTCCGAGAAACTATTATGCGTTCGCCCATGCCTTCACCCTTCGCATGGTAACATTCACTGATAATGACAAATTGAAGAACAAAGCCTTACCTGCATTTCTCTAGTTTATTAATCATTAAATAATCTTCCTTACTTTTATAAAAAAGATCTGACATCCTTGTTCTATAGCGGGAAATCAGATCCTTTTTGATTTCCCACCGTTAGGGGAAGTAGTTTTTCATTTGACATGAATGGCGCTTTTATCAGATATGTTGTATCAGCTGAGTCGTTACATTTTTGATGGGTAGAAGTATTACCTTCATTTTAATTTGTGATTATGACTTATTGATTAAAATTCAATGATATCCAGCTCCTTTTGTTCCCTAATTCTTCCTGATAAACTTTTACAAGCATGAATTTGTATTATCTCAACCAAATTAACTTTTACAAAGTTTTGGAGGTTTTTTTTGGCTAAACGAACAAGATTTGGTAATAAATTTTACAAGTCAGCAGAATAGTGAACAAAGCGAATATAATACACCTGAATCATTCTGAAAACAAAAAGGCAATAACAACTGGAAGAAATATCTGCTGAAAAGGTTTTCAGCTTGATTAGCACACTCTCCAACCTATCAGTTTAAAGGAAAATAACTCCCTACGCATTCAATTTTTCCTTTTATTCTGTATCATTTTCGCTCATTCTAAGTATAACTGTGAGCTCTGGAAGTGTACCGTTATTTTGCTTTACTTTTTTCTTTGAAGTGCGATAAAAATGCATGCATGTTTTTTGCGACAGCCGATTAGTACATCTTCGCTTTCATGTCACTTTTTGCATGTAAGCTGCGTTGATTGGGTTTTTAAGTTTATTATTTATTTATTGGGACTAATTATCAATAAAATAAAGTAATAATGGGCAAAGGAAACCGGTTGGACGAGTCTGGAAAAGGCAAAATAAAGGCTTACAGGGAGTGCGGACACTCTATTCTTCAAATATCAAAAAATATTAAGCGCAGCCGTAAAGTTATTACCGCACATTTAAGCAATGAGGATACATATGGGGAAAACATGAAAGGTCGGCCATCATCAGTAATAACAGCAGCTGACAAGCGAATCATACTACGACACGCTTCTAATTCCCACGACTCAGGCGCCAAAATAAAGGAAAAAAACTGGTGTTAAAGCGTGCGTTCGGACTATGCAAAGAGTTATTTCGAATGCTGATCATGTGAAGCATCTAAAATTAAATAAAAACCACTTCTAAACCAAATTAGAAAGATGCAACGACTCAATTTCTGTCGATCAAATATTACCTGGACTATGGAGTGGGAGCGGGTAGTCTTTTCAGATGAAAAAAGTTCAATTTGGAGCGTCCTGACGGCTATGCCTACTACTTTCATGATCTCAGAAAAGAAGAGCATACTTCAGATCGATTGCACAGCCTTGCGGGTGGTGTGATGGTGTAGGGAGCTTTAACATACTTTTGCACTATAGAACTGCAGTTTTTTACCAGCCGTATGAATGCCATTGCGTCTGCAATCAAGGATATTTTTGGACCCTTGAAATGACAATTCCAGCAGGACAACACACCTATCCACACAGCCAGGATTGTAAAGTCCTGGATTGATGGTCAAAACGTGGAATTACTGACTTGGCCGCCATACTCTCCCGACCTAAACATTATAGAAAATGTTTGGGGATGGCTGGCACGAAAGGTGTACGAGTCCGGCAGGCAGTATTCAACTGAATCAGATCTCATTGAAGGAATAAAAAAGAAATAAAAGGCTGTTTCACTCAATTATATAAAAAAATTATATGACTCCTTACCTCAGCGGATGTACGAAGTCATACTTAACATTATTAATTTGTTTTTAAAAAAAGTTAAAAATATTTAAAGTAATTTAAAAAAATAATTTGAATGAACCCATTTCCTTTTGTTATTTTAAGTTTTCAAAAGACTGTGCTAATCGGTTGTCGCAAAAGTAATAGAGAATTTTGTATGTTATGTTTGCTTATATTAATTTAAAATGTTATTAATAAAGTTATCTTCTATTAATTTTCGTGTGAAATTATATATTCTTTTAAGGAGGAAAAAATTATTTGAAAAGCTTTTTTAGTTTTCCTGGTATTAAGTTTCTAAGACGAGCAGCATAGGGTGTGCTAATCGGTTGTCGCGCAGTGTACGTGTACATACCTCATTTCATTTCTTTTATTGAAAAAATGATCGACCAAAATTTATTATTTGCTAGTTAACAATATTCAAATAAACTTGAATTAGGTTATTTCAATAATACCGAAAAGTACCGAAATTCAATACTTCTGAGTACCCACTCATAGTATTCTATCGCTATGCTTCATAAGATTGAATGCAAATTCATTTTATTTATTTATTTCGACAATCAGTTAATTTGTTTGTTTGGGTATCAAACTTGTTTGATAAGTATAAAGCCATGAATGGTGAAATTTTGTATTACATATATACATACATATATATTTTTATAATATTTTATTTCGTTTTGCTCTTTCTCACCACCAAACCCATTCGCGTCGCTTCTTTGTCGGGTCATGAGAAAGAAGAACTAAAGATGCACCAATTCTTGTAGAAGATTGTACTTTAACTATTATCTCTTCAGTTCAAAAGGTTGAAGGGCTCATACGATAGAAAGTTATACTGCCTGAAATCTTGCTTTATGCAGCAGTATTAATTTTGCCGGCATACCGATTTATATTTAGCGGCGTATAGGCAGCTCTTTTTCGTACCTTCAATCGCCGCTTTAAAATCGATGGAAAGGTGGCGTGTATCGCATCTTTTCTCGCGCTATAAGATTTGGCGCTTAGAGTCACATTAATATAGTCCTATCAGCTGTGGTTTTGTTTCTTTTTCACGCGTCAAAAAGCAAGATAAGTATTATTAAACAAAAACTTCTTCAAAATTCTGGTCCTAATCGTCCGTATTGAATAGTTCAGACAGTAAGAAATCAACCTCTGCTGTTTTGTTGACCTTAAAGGAGGCTAACGGTTGGGATTTCGAGTTCTAAATGTTCGTTGACTACATTATCTCGTTGGTTCTTTTATAAGAATACTAAGACTAGAAACATTTCTGTACGCCACCTCATATTTTCAGAGTATTTCCGACTTAAGTTCAATATTTATTGGTAATAAAATGTATACATCCATCAGTTTATTGATTTGTTTTTGTATTTCTACTCCCTATAGTCTTTTCTAGGTTATGTAGATATTAGCTTTTTTGGATAGCTCTCTAAGCAAGCATCCAAAGGAAATCTGAGTACTGGGAGAGTTGTGTTGTCACTTAATACATGACTTCTTCGAAACAAGGGAAGATCTCACCAATTGTGAATATAATTGTGTATGTGTTTTCATCAGCGTAGAAAGAGCGAGGAAATTTTTTTCTAAATTTACCCTGAACTTTATGTACTTATATATGTACTACATTTTGTTAAATCATAGCTTACATACGCACATATATCTACATTTATCGAACTCAATTGTGCCAAGTATCTGTACATAAATCTATAAGTACTTATATAAATATTAAATTCATTCATATGTACAATATATAAAGTTCGTTATACCTCTATTGCAGGTTTGGTTCATCCAACATTGTTAGAGGCCTTATGTACTATTACACGTTGCAGTGGAAGTATTTAACTGCCAATTTTCGTAACTTCGCCTTGAAAGCGTCTGGCCGTATACCATATGTATTTAACGTGCGGAAACATTCGTCTTCGTTCAAATTATCGTTTAATAATTAAATTTAATATTGTTATGTTGAACTTGCATTCATGTCACAATGAAATTGAGTGTGAGTGCGTATCGCGCGCACGCATCGGCACACAAAAAGATTCTCTCGAGCGGATATCATTCGCAACTCAATTACGGCAGCACAGGTGCAGCAGTTTCTTCTTCTGCTGCCTTTCAAATGGTAATGATTTTAAAAAAATTAAGTTGATCACTTTTTCTTTGAAATTGCTAACGACTATTTTTTTTATAATATTTGCTGCAGACGGATCCCAACAAAAACGCAATGTCATTCGCCACCGCAGAACGGCATGGGGTCGAATGCAATACTGACACAGATGTCGTAAGCCCCTCTGGTACAAGCAGTTCCGGTCAGGAGAGGGCTGGCATTATAATTAAATCACGACCGCATATGAGTGACGACGATAATGATAGTAATGTCATTTATCCCGACATTAAGAGTCCCGATCAAAAGTAAGTGAAGTTGAGTGTTGTTATGATCTAATTTACATATGTATAATATGAGGTCTACACAGTGAACCTCGCCTTCATTTTCTCTCGAATATATTGATATATTAGATTCAGAGTGAACTCAATAATGTATTACATTTATATTCTGTAAGATAATGGTAATGGATTCGAGCTCTTGAATTAAAAAAATTTAGTGCAGAAATGTTATTGAAAATAAACTTTCAGTGGTTCGGAAGCGAAAGAGACGATGTTTCTCTACAAAAAAGTGAAAAAATAATATGATGGACTTTTAATGTGTTCTTTAACTGCATTTCTTTTGAACCTTACGTTCTAGTGTTCTTATTTACTACTAACGAGCTTTAGATAGATGCAATTGTATGTTTGTGTTTTATTAATATCTTTGTAGGAAGTCAGATATTACCGAACGACCTTCAGACCTAGACTCTGACTGGTAAGTGTTTTTTTTTATCAAAAATACTTACTAGCATGCGCTTCTTTAACAAAAAAAAATCATTTCATGATAGGATTGGCCCAGTTTTAAAGAACACGTGCATAGCTAGTTTCATTTTACAAACACACGACATATTGTAACTCAAAACCTAACGAAATAAGGACTAGTTTTATGTTTTAATAATTTTAAGTTTGGTTTGTTTTTTAGATTCTGAAAAAGGTTCTATGTAACAACTACACTGTGCATATTTGAAATTTTGTTTTATAAAACATAATTGCTTTTATTATTTTGCTCTTCGTGAAACTCATCTCTTGAAAAATACTTGAAATAGATAATAGATAATAATTATTATTTCGTAAAGGTTTTTTTACCTTCATATAATTTTCACACTAATTATATATAATATGTTTAATAATAATGTTGGTTGGCTTAAATTTGTGTAACATTTTTGGAAATTCATCGGTCTTCGTTTCTCAACACAAAACTACATTACGGTCTTTGAAAAACAGGAATCGATCTAATCAACGATGGATGAAACTCAGAACAACTGTACAAATATCTTCAGCAATACAGAAAAAACCACCGCTAAAACGCGAGGACTCGTTTTTAAAACGATTTTCAACGCGTCAAATTCCGGAAGCTCAGGTAAGAAATAGCGATTTTTATGTTTAATATAATATAAGAAAGCATATTTAACTATAACAAATTACTTTTGATGGACTGATTCAATTATTGGAGTTTCGATGTAGTTTCAATGTATATTCCACTGGTACGACATATTAGTGGGTTATAAGGGAGACTCCAAACTAGCGTCCATGCGGAGGGTAGCGAATTCGGTTCCTGTATTCTAATTTCTGAAATTATTATCATCTGAAAAAATTATCCGGTCTCAAGATTCATGTGGAACGCGTTTCATCTTCCTATCTAAACTTTCAAAGGTACCGGTTAATCTATGACCGCGCATTGCTGTGAAAGCTTTTAATTTTATTCTCATTACAAGTTGAGAACATTTTCAACGTTATTTTATGGGACAGTTTCCAAGATCGATATTCTCCTGTTCTTTATAGCATGCCAATTTTCTTTTAGCCCCAAGTGAAGCCAAGACCTCTCCCACAATGTCATCATATATTTTATCGTCTGCGGTATATTTCTTCTTTAGTTCGCAAGCAAGTAATTCTGACTCATCGGATGTCGTCATTGTTCACGCTTCTGTACCATATATCTCGACGGGAGTAATGAGCGAATTGTAGTTTTTTATGTTTCTTCGTTGGAATAGAACTTACTTTTCAATATCAACCAATATCTGCTGAGAAGAATAATTCGGTGATCCATGCTGTTAGTAATGTAGACGACAGTGACTTGGAAGCAAAGACAAGAATGTAGTGTGAAAGACTAGATGCCAATGCGTTGTTTGTTTGTTTAACGACAGGAAATATTTCTTGTTTTACCAATCTAGAGAAAGTTGGCGCTGCTGTTCAGGCCGACGATGTAAATATCATAAGTTCGTTCAGTTTCACGTGTCCGAAGAAGCTTTTGGCGTTGATTAGCGTAGTATAGGCAGCTACTTTTCGTATTGTTAAAGATGTCTGAAAATGGGCGAAGAAGGGGTGGGTGGATCCAAAATTAAGTTACCATCTCAATAATATTTTAACAATATCGAAGTTGTTTAGTAAATAGCCGCCGCAAAAAAGCTAATCAATTTTATTATATATATATATAATAGGAAACTGTCGAGGATACTGGATCGGAGAGTGCTTTTGGAGAAGCTGATAAGAGTACAAAAAGACGAAGGCGATTTTTACAAAAGCGACGATCGGTTGTTAATCCTGATGAAAATTTTTATTTCTATTGGTTAATGATACTGACGGTGTCCGTTTTGTACAACTTATGGGCGCTTATTGTGCGACAAAGCTTTCCGGAATTACAGGTAATGTCTTAGATATTCCAGAAATTTCTATAAATATAAGGAGGTGTCTAAAGTTAACTCGTTTGTATTTCCAGCAAGCTGTTCCTATTTTTTGGTTTGTTTGTGATATGCTCACAGACGTTGTTTTCGTATTCGATATTGTTGTGCAATTGCGTACTGGATATTTGGAACAAGGCTTGATGGTATATGATGATAAGAAATTAGCACTTCACTATATACACTCAAGAGATTTTGTCTTCGATATAATTTCGTTAATTCCATTGGATTTAATACAATTGAAAATTGGTTCAAATCCACTTTTACGATTTTCGAGGTTTTTTAAGGTGAGCATAATGGAACTGAATATGTAAAAACCTTTATATCAAATGTTCTTCTCTTAGGTTTATCGATGTGTGAAATTCTATTATATTGTGGAAAGTAGGACAGTTTGGCCAAATTTATGGCGTGTGATAAACTTAATACATATTCTTCTCATTTTGGCGCATTGGTTTGGATGTTTTTATTATCTTTTATCGGAAGCCGAAGGATTTCAGGTTGGCGAGTAAATATTTGGCGAAATTCTTTGAATTAACACGTTATTTTCTCGACTTCATTAAAGGGAGATTGGGTATATCCTTATAGACCAGGAGATTATGCTACATTGACACGAAAATACCTCGGTAGCCTTTATTGGTCTACTCTTACGTTAACAACAATTGGAGATTTGCCAACACCGGAAACAAATGCAGAGTAATTAAAAATCTTTATAGTCAAAATGTTTTCAGGATAAGTTTTACATTTAAACTGCTTAATAAATTTATTTGCAATATATTTGATTCTATTTTCATAAAAAAGTGCCCTAAATCGTTTCAAACCATAAACATTAAAGTTAAAGTTCCGCAAATACTCGGGGATTTCGAGCTGTTGCCTAGACTTTTTTATTCGTCATCCAATACATTGGCCGTTTGCTGATGTCGAGACCTACATAAAACACATTAACAATCGTCGAACCTACATAATTGAAATTAATCAATTAGTTAATGATAAATGAACAAAAATTTGTCTTTCAAGGATCGAAACTTGAGGTTCTTGTTTACAAGTAGCTACTTCCATAACTTGTCTCCTGATAAATGGCTGCATAGTAGCAATTCACATAACTCGGTCTTTTAATGCTCTAGATCGTTTTTCAAAACTTTCCTGCTTTCCTACGTAAGTGCGACTGGAATCGGATTTTCAAAGTAGCCCAGTTTCTTAGATATTGAAAGCTGATGCTGCCTCGCCTCTAATTTTGACGTTGTGAAATGTTTTTGAGCATAGAAAATGTTTAGCTAGTCATTGCTGGCACAAGACGCTTACGAGTGTTCATTATTAATTTGTAAACAAAGCATTTATAAGTCTTGATATCAACAGACATCCTGTTTTGCCTATATATGTGCACGATCCATCTTCATGAAAGAATAGAAGTAGAAGAAATATTAAATTTTCTTTTTTGTTACTGAATACTTTGAGTGTATATTTTAGATTTACGTACAATTGATTATAATTATGAACTATATGTTTTCTCATTCTATCGTGAGGCCAAATTTTTCAGTGGACGGCCCAAGGTCAATACCTAGACGTGGTATAAGATCAAGATTACTGCAATTCGGGTCAAATTATGGGTATGATTTACCTTTTATTCGAATTACATATATTTTTTAATATTTCAGAATGTATGTAAGAATACACGTACTTAACTATACATACAATACTATATGCTGTGTCTCAATCGCTTACTAGTCCTTTACCAATAAATAGGTTTTTACCACTATAATGATCAATTTCATTTAATATTTATGACATTTTCTAACTTTTGACTGTTTCCTGAGTAAAGTTATAATAAACTAAATTAAATCAATATCTGAAGATATTTTATGCTTGTCTGCCACTCGGAGTCAGTTGTGCAACGATTTTAGAACAATGATGTTAAATAGAGATTGAGTGTGGCATGCCCCACGCAAGATTAAAATTTGAGTGTCCCCTAAATAATCATTATTTACTTAATTTACTGCCGTAAAAACCGTTTACGCGATTATAGCCGATTTAACAACATTGCGCCATTTGTTTCTTCTTTTTGCTGATGCATGCACCTTGTCAGCTCTTCACCGCCATGTTTGAATTGTTCTGCTGTTGCTATTCGAACAGGTTGGAGAAGTGTTCCATCCATAAATTCAAATTACTCTGGACATCGGTAGCTAGATCTGCTCTTTGTGTCTTACAAGACTCTGCTCCGGTATTAAAACCTTCTGTAAGTCATCGTATCTTCTCATAGAGTTTTCGAGCATTACCCTTGTCGGCCAGCTTCTCAAGCTCTACATAGTCCCGCATCTCGGTCACTTTCTTTTTTGTCTGCAGAGGCGTCTTGCTTCCCTCTTCATTTCTCGGTATCTACCCCACCCTGCACGTAACGTGGTCGATCGCAGAGTTGCATACAGTCTATTTTCTTTCCCCTGCTACATGGTAGCCCTCATAATACCAAATGGTTTTGCGACCTTTACGAAATCCAATAGTTTGGTTTGCAGCTGTACGTAAAAAGCTCGAAATTCCATCCCACAGGTGTCGTATACCGAGTTACTGATGAGTGCTCTCAGAGAGCAAAAGTACATGTCGATTAGAAAATCATTCGGCAGTCTTTGTGATTGCAGCCTTTCCTTGTGATTGTTGATGGGCATTCTTCGATACACAGAGGCGCATGCGTATCTTTGCTGCAACAATATAATAGTCCGAGTCGATGTTGGGTCCTCGGAGTGTAAACACGTGAAGAACACTGGAGACTTGTCTTTCGTATATCACAACTAGATCGATCTGGTTTTGTGTTATTTGGTCTGAAGACAGCCAAGCAGCTTGACGTATTTTTTCGATCAACCTCAACCCATTAGGGGACATTAAATCGCCAAGTACGATTTTGTTGGGGGCAGCGTTCGTAAGTATGTTCTAGGCGCTCATAAAAAGCATCTTTGGACAAGTCGTCCTTCCCATCTGTCGGGGGGTGGACGCAAATCAGCGATATATTGAAAAATTTCGATTTGATGCGGATTGTGGAAAGACGCTCATCCACCGGGGTGTATTCTAGTACTCAAATCCAACACCGAATTCTCGCTCCTTTGCATGAACGTTGTAGTAAATATCACAAGAACTTCTTTTATATAAATAGCCGCTTGCTTCAAGAACGACGCCCCCTCGTAGCCGCACCTCTGGTGAACAGATATTGCAATTAGACTTCAGCAAACGCTTAAACCGAATAAATCGGAGTGGCTCCTCCCTCATTAGTCATGGCCCAAGGCTCCACGCGGGTTGGTTACCGAATCTACATCCATTACACCCCCAAAAAAATCCACCTAAATTAATACTCCTTGGCCTATAAATTTGACGTTGTGAAATGTGTTTCGACGTAAAAAATTTTTAACTAGCCATTGCTGGCGAAAAAGGCAGATTTGCAGCACAATATGTTGACATCATTGTTAATTTGTAAACAAAGCTGCTGTGCATCCCCCTTTCTTTTATGGGGTGTTTTTTTTAAAGAACGCCACCAACTGTTTGGACAAGATACTTGTACAAATTTTCTTTTAAGATCCTCTCTAGCCCACTTGGTTAAGATAAGGTTATGTTTACATTGCCTGGCTGATACCCATTGATTCTTTGTTGTGCAAAATGGATATTCTATATAATTTTAAGCATAGGAGTCGTCTCATAGAACAGCAACAATTTTTGCGAGACTTTTCTCAAAAGTACCATATATCTAGGTGTGAGACTTTTCCTAGTTCTTCGAGTCGCTAAGTACTGGATGTCGGGCGAGGTATTTCATGCATAAATCACTTTCAGTAACACCCGTTTTACACACACCTACTGGCATGGTAATGGGTTGTCATTAGATCTGCAATCGTCCCGTAGCCCTTCCGAGATCGCTTGAAAATTTTTTTCCAGTGTATTTTTTATATTCAACAAAGTGACTTTTTTTCAAACTTATAAAAAATGGAATTTCCAATTTTTTGATATTTCTTTTAGTTCATATATGTAGCAGACTCATTCCGGCACCATTGACATGCCCGGACATAACAACATTGGAATGTTCCAATATTTTTCAGAGGCATGCTTAAATTCTCATTGGAGTTGGTTTTTATATGGCGGGTCTCAACCTAGCGTAAAACTTCGCTGGGCGAGTAAGTTTAAATACTTTACACGTTTATATAGCGAGGCGCCTGCTGCAAGACAGACACCCGCTCGCAGCCGCACCTCTGGTGGACAAACGATGCAATGCCTACACCTGTTAAATCTAAATAAATATTCTAAATAATATTCGGAATGATTAATGGTCTTTTTATTTTAACTTTTTCTCTATCTGGATTATTTGCCTCTTTCAATAAAAATAATTGTAGAAATGTATTATTCAGAAATATTTCATGAGATTTAGAAAATGTCACAAATAATACTATATTATAATACTTTTTTTGCCTTTCATGAATATGTTTTGGTCCGAAGTATGCCAGTTCCACAAGTAGAAACCCACTAGAACGACAGCTGAGTTGATTCGGCCTGTCTGCCTATTTGTCCGTCAGTCCGTATATTTGAATGCAAACTAGTCTCACAGTTTTTGAGATATTTGATCCAATCTTGATCGGAGAAGTATAACGTATAATCTCTTACAACCGATTCGCTCAGATACGAGGTTTCGGTCAAAATTCCGTTTATTTTTGTATTCTACGGACGTCAAATTGAGTTTAAAGTTAATATTTTCACTGACATCAAAAATAGAAATTTGGATTTTGGAATAAATCTGATAAGTTCATAGTAGGTATGAAGATTTCGGCATCGCCGATGTTTCTTGTTTGCTTTTCTCAAAAACGTCTATTTCCAAATATTTCAGTTGATGCCTCAACAGTGTTAAGAAGTAGTAAACGATTGAGTCTTAAGAGCAATAAAGGTATCTAAATCAATGATGTTGGGGCTGTCCACTTGATTATGTTTAAAAAAATATTTATATAAAATTTAATTGTTGTAACTGTATGTATCTTAAAAAAAAACTTTCAAGAAATCCATCAAAGTTTTCGAAAATTGTGGCAGCCTTCAACATTAATTGATATTAGAAATTCCTTAATACTCATGTCATGTTTTTTCGAAAACTTTGATGCTAACTATTCGATTGTACCAAAGTCTTACCTTTGACTGCTTCCATATTTCTTAGGTATATTTTTACAATCGTCAGTTATCTTATTGGAGTATTCATTTTTGCCACAATTGTCGGCCAAGTTGGAAATGTGATAACGAATCGTAACGCTAATCGCTTAGAATTCGAACGGTTATTGGATGGAGCAAAAACCTATATGCGTCACCATAAGGTTTGAGCGAAATTTTGTGAAATTTATATAACCTTATACAACCTTCATACATATACATACATATTTGTACTTTGTGCGTTTATTTAGGTTCCCGGCGGTATGAAACGACGTGTACTTCGATGGTACGACTATAGCTGGTCTAGAGGGCGTATTCAAGGAGGAGGTGATATAAACACAGCTTTGGGCTTATTACCGGATAAGTTAAAAACCGAATTAGCGTTACATGTTAACTTGAGTGTCTTAAAGAAAGTCACTATATTTCAAGAGTGCCAACCAGAATTTTTACACGATTTGGTTTTGAAAATGAAAGCATACATATTTACACCCGGTGATTCGATTTGCCGCAAAGGAGAGGTAGCAAGAGAAATGTTTATAATAGCCGATGGTATACTGGAAGTACTCAGTGAGACAGGGAAAGTTCTGACCACAATGAAGGCTGGCGATTTTTTCGGTGAAATCGGAATTCTAAATTTGGATGGCCTTAACAAGTTTGTGTTTTGTTTTTTAAAAGTGTAAAAGCATTTAACTTAATGCTATTTTTATTATAGACGCACTGCTGATGTACGCTCAGTTGGCTATTCGGAACTGTTTTCGCTCTCTAGAGAGGATGTGCTCGCTGCTATGAAGGACTATCCGGAAGCGCAGGAAATTTTACAAACTCTTGGACGAAAACGTCTGATGGAGGTGCGGTGTGTAAATAAGAAGTATGCGAAAACACAAAGCAATAAAGACCAATCGGATCAACCAAATGTATATAGCAATATTAATAGAAGCGACAGTAGTGAAAATAGTGCCTCAAAAAAAATTGTGTACAAATTAAAAAACGATGTTAAAGGAATACGAAGCATGCTCAAAAAGACAAGGTGAGAGAGGGATAATTAACGGACATTCGTAAAAAGAGTTGTTAACAGTAGAAGATATAATGTAAATAACATCTATTACTACCGTTGTCGTATATGAATCTGTTTTCATCGATTGGGTATTACAGTGCTTATTGTGAAGCTGGCTAAATTGCGCAGGGGATTTCTATTGTCGGCCACAGTAGCCAAGTAACTAGCATTTCATGATACAAAGCGAAGGGTCTTGGCATTGGCATAACTATACCATCTTGGGCCAGTGACAATTACTTGGTCTATTTATCAAAAAAATATTTTCTTCGAACTTTCTGTTTAAAGAACTGGCTATAGAAGTTTCAATAGACTGAATAGCCGGGTTACATAACCTTGACCCATAGAATATCTGAAATACGTTTTCATTGATTTTAGTTTTGAAAATGAAGGTTCAGATAAGAACATTCCTCATTGGTCTCCTGGTCAACTTAAGGTTGATTTCGTTTGTTACCTAATGGATACAACGACTTACTCATAGATATTCCTCATTGGTCCCCCAATACTCAAATCAGATTCCAGACGAATTTTCGATTACTCTTGTCTTTCTATGGCGTTACCAATTTGTTTCCATTTCTTATTGCACTCAATCCAAATACCTGATGTATCAATGAATAAGATACCTATACTCGATCAAGTTTAAAGCCAAACTTAAAAAGAGTATAATAATGTTTTTCTAGAAAATATCTTTTGTCACTATCTTTTAAGAAAAGACCTTTAGATATACATTATCCGTTTTCAACCACGAACCTTTTCTATTTATCAGTTAACTCTTTAAAATCATCCATTATGTTGGGTGCTGCATCTGGTAGCATCGTACATTAAATGGTAAGATTCAATTCTTAAACTTGGAGCAATGTTCACTTGAGTTTTAATTATTAAACTCAACATTCTGCAAGTACTGCCTAATTTAAGGTAGCTTTTTATATTTTCCTTCAATCTACCTTTTTTTCGTTTTTCGCTCCCACTTAAATATTCTCTGGAACTCGACATTTTCCTATATACACTGCCACAATTCGATCATCGATTTAAACAAATTTGAAAAGTCGAAGATACAAAAGACCAATTGTGAAAACAATCATACAAAGACTACGCTGTCAGTAGAGCTTTAATAAAAAATGGCAGAATCGATGCTAATTATAGCAGGCTTATCAGCCATTTGTACGATTAAATAATGGCCTCTAATATAATTTCATTTTTATTACAATAATGTCATAGTCTGAACGTTACGTGACAAAAAATGTAGAAACCTATGGACCGTTTTCAAATTGTATTGTAATGCTTATCAATTAACTCTAAAATGGATTGTTGTCCCACTTTAATGGATTTTAGGCAGAACTTATAAAAATTATCTATACATATTTATATACTTTTCAAGTGCCCTGATGAAGCACAGTTCCCCTCCTGTTGGCCAAAGTTGTGTGCTTCTGAGCGATTACTTCCTTTAGATGGTCCAATTACTGGTACTTAAGAGTTAAGAAACCAAACCAATCCCGCCAAACACACAAAAACCTTCCTGTCCGTCAATCCTAGCTTGAAGACAGTTTGAAGCTCAACGATTTCCATTATTTGGTCGACATTTTCGACCATCCGTATGGTCATCTCTCATTACCTTTTTTTATAACAAGTTATGATTTTCTCAACGCCATCTGGCGAAATCCAATCCCTTATAGAAGCCACCCATTGCAGAAATAATGGACAACTCTTTAGCTTATATACAATACTTCAGCTCCCAACAAATAATTTTCTGCAAAGGCTCATAACTAGAGATTTTGGAAATCTCAATTTGAATCTGTTAATAAATATTTATTGCTTGAAAATCTTTATTTTTTTTGACTTACGCAAGATTGTGAAATAAATTTTTAAAAAGTTATAATGTTATAATATTGAACCCAATCTCATACATTTGAAGGATTAGAAGAAGCGATGAGTCATTAGAAATGCAACCAGTACATGAAATCATAAATAAGGTAAATAAATCTACCCTGAAGCGTATGTCAAATGTACGTTCCGACGAGAAGGAGGAAATTGAAGAAAAAGTACAAGTGGAAAAGACGCCAAGTCCAATCGGTGCCGGGCTACCATTACTCCAAAGATTACGTTTGCTCAAAGAGAAGCAGGTGAGCAGGATCCGATGATGTTTCAAAACAATATTTTCCTTACATAATATGCATATTTATACATATGTATATGTATAATATAAGGTACAAATGTAAATTTGTGTGTTAATATCATTTTCTTTGCACTTTATGGTTTTGCTTAGGATCGGGAAGAGAAGGCAGCGAAATCTACAACGCCACAAATATCTCCACCACACCCTCATATTGTTAGCGCTTTATCACCGCAGGAATCAATACAGGAAGAACCCGAGACTGAAGTTAACGAGGCACTTCCGTTGATGCAAAGATTACAAATGCTGAAGAACAAACAAGAGACGATGAGTGCCGATGTGAAAACCGGCGTAAGGCATAAATGTTTACATTCATATTTTGATTCTGTTTGGTTTATGACTTAACTTGAGAGGTTTGGTTTTTTTTTTTCAAAATTTTAACCTTTATACAAGGGTTGCCTTTCATATATCGGGATTAGAAAACAATAACAAATATGATATTCTCCAATAAGGTCTTTTGGTTCGAATGAATACGAACCCATTCTCGAAACACCTCAAAACATATATTCTGAACGCATCAACCGCCTTTTCAGATTTTGAATACCGATGACCCCTCAATTTATTGTTGACGTGTCGGAATAAAAAAATTTATGCCCAGTCAGGACTATACCGTGGATAACTCATCAAATAGATGTTCTGAGTGTTCAAAAAATAAGTTTTTTCAATCGATTTGTGAGAACTCGAATGGTCGTGGTAAGGAGTGTTTCGTACAGTTTCCGGAACGCCAACTGGTTTTGCAGGACTTTCAAGAAAATTGACTTGGAATAATCCACGAACTCGATTGAATTCACCATACCATCGATAAACTGTGGTCCGTGATGGAGGCTCATCTCCGAAATATAATTAATTTCATCAAAGCACTGTTGCTGAACTAATTCACGTCGAATGTTGTGAATAATAATCGCGTAAAAATGTTCCCGATTTAATTCCAATTTTTCGCTGAAATGAAAATATTGTCCATCTGAAGCTATAACATTTTCCTTTCTTTCTGGAAATTTGCGTATTCCATCCTAAATGAACTTTACCAGTTCTGATGTGAACCGTATTCTAGTGAGGACGCTCAACATCGGCCGAAACTAATGGCAGTCTGAAGGGGCAAGTCTTGATTGAAAGGCGGGTGAGAAAAAACTTCCCAGCCACTATTTACTAAATAGATTTTAACCGAGTTCTGGGCGTTTTACGGCAATCTCTCCTTTCAACATGACGAGTTGTTGTCGGTAGCGTTTCATAGTTTCAGCTGGATTTTGAAGCTCATAATACAGCATGTCCTTCTGATCCCACCAACTACTAGAGCAGGTGCCATGGATATTCGCTTGCTGTTAATTTGGCTGATTGACACAAATTCCAACTTGCGGCTGATTTCTTCGTTTTACTTCTTTTCGTAATTATTTATATAAAGATGAAAATTTATATGCAAGTCACAATAACTATTTTTATTTACTTACATTCCTTATATATTGTAATAAGTGATTTAATTAATTAATCTCTTTAATAGTTGAAACCAAATCCAACGGTATCATTGAAACAAAAGATTCAAATGCTTCACTTCCCTGGAGTAATAAAGTCCGATGCTTTGGAAACTAAGTCGAAAGACGATAAATCAATTAACGCAGTCATAAGTCAAAAAGATCCTCCCAAAGCGCCTGATATACCAAAGCAAATTAAACGTGATCTAGGTGCAATTAATAAATCGCCAAAGGCGGTATCAGGAATGTCATTAAAATTCATAAAGCCGTCCATAAACACCTCATCAGAGCGTTCAGATAGTGATATGTCTATAAAGCCATGGTCCAAACTTAAGTTAGCTACTTTAATATCGACAAGCTCTAATAATTTAGCAAAATTTTCGCCAGGCGATTCAGACATCGATGTAAAAACATTTTCGACAAACGAAACACCACAAGCGCAAACGCAAACATCAACGGTTTTAACGTCCGCAACAACATCTACACAATCTATACAATCCATAGCTGCAGCAGCTGCACTTCCTCCTAAGTGCTTGCAACCAACAATAATTTTAGAAAATTTTCGAAAACACACCAATAGTTCATCCGCAAATAATACCAGCGAAAGTCGGAAATATTATCACTCTGTTTTTGACTTGTCGCCGGAATATAGTGGGTTACCATTCGTGAAACGTCTAAAAATTTTAAATGAACGTCAAAAGTTGGCGGAACTGGAACAAGCACTTCAGACGCGAAGCTTTAGTTTAGACAGTTCTAAAACTGGTAATCAACTGGCAGTATCTGAACCATTATACAGATGTTTCAGTGACGTTTCCGAAATGTATTCCAAGTTTTTCACAGCATATGAGTCCAGTTCATCCACTTCGACGAATACATCCATTTCGAATAACAACAATCAGAGGAGAGACAAATATATACCACCCGCATATTTACCGCTTAGTCCCGAGCTTAATGAAACTACTGAACGCCGCAAGTTAAAATATGTGTTACAGGAACTCCATCGCAGTTCCGAGGAATGCAAAAGACAAAATGAAGATACAGCGGTATTGGAAAGACCAAGCAAGAGATTACTGAGAGAACCAACTATAGAAGGGTATGTGGCTAGACATAGTATGCTAATGAAAAGTATAACGTTCAAATCAACTCTTTCTAGTCCACCCCACAGCGCGCTGAAATCTGTTACAGATGAACACTATGATGGCTTGAGTACGGTGGGTGAAGACCAAGACCATGCCGTTAAATTATCTTGTATGCCCGCAATTTCAGCTTCGGGCATACATAAATATACGGAAAACCGAGTTCTTATTGACACTCGTTTTAAATCTGAGTCAAAACGTCGAAATACAATCCAGTATACTCCAAGTCCTTCGTACACTAATCAACGCACAACAAAACGACTGAAAACAACTGGGGCAGAGTCGATAAAGACAGAAGGTAATTTATTGTTTACATTAATAAAAATTACTTAGACCCAAAATTTTGATTGGATGTATTTTTATACTTATTTTGAATATTGAACGACTATGTAGATCAATACCATATAAATATCTGAAAAAACCCTATGAGTAGGTGATTAGAATATATTCTGCTTTTTCTTTGTCAGCTTGGACAACACTTATGCAATTATAGCCGTGCCCATAGTTTCTTCTATTTTCTATAAGGCACCAAAGGGAAATACCAAGAGAAACCAGGTCGCTTTCCTCCCGATCCTTCCAATGGAGTTGAGTTGTTCCTATTCCTCTGCTTCCACCTGAGAGTACTGCAAGGAATACGTTCAAGGCTGGAAAGCTTTTCTTCATTAGGACCATGACCTAGTAGCGTACCCACTGCCTCTGCGTTCGCTTAACTATGGCAATGCACTCTCTGCAGCCAATGCGGAAAGAACCGTAAATCGTTCGCAAAACTTCCTTTCGAAGACCTCCAAGGCCGATTTATCGGAAGTCGACATCGTGCAGGCTTCCATATCATATAGTAGGATGGGAATGATGAAATTTGTAGAGTTTGGGTTCTGTTCGTTTAGAGAGGAATTTACTTATCAATTGCTTACTCAGTCGAAAGGAGCACACGTTTTCCAAGAGTAACTCTGCTTTGGATTTCAACGCTAACATTATTATTGGTGTTAATGCTGATCTCTAGATAGACGAAATTATCTACGACCTCGAGTTTATGACTGTCAAGATTAACATGTGAGTCAAGGGTCTACTATTGGTTTGATGGCAGGAGATATTTCGTCTCGTTCTCGATCACTACCAAACTCATTCGTAACGCTTCTTTATCAAGCTTGGAGGATGCAAAATTAAAGAAACCACACTATAAAGACTCACTCTGACTGAAACCTTGTTTGCATCTAATGGAGCGGAGAGGCCCTATACAATTTTGACTGCGCTTTTGGTGCTATCCAGTGATATACCAAATACGCTCAATAGAACCTTATAAGCGATATTTAAGAGTTTAATACCATGCTAGATGGCCTAGACGGGAGTGTTCGTTTTTATATGAATAGGGCAGATCACATTAATTTCGTGGTTTTTTCCGACCATAGCCCAGCCGGTAAGCCGTCGGCTACATCGCATTTGTACTTCAAACGAGTAATCGCTATTCAAACCTAGTGATAGTATCCTAGTTGGATAATGGAACGTCCTTTAATTCATCTCCGGGTGTTGCATTTTCAGATCCATGAACATCGGTCAAGAGAGAGATCGGCAAGCTCTTCATACTTACGTATTTCGGCCTCTTTGTTTTTATGTGGTCAATCACAATGTTGCGAGGTAGGCTGGTTTCTCTCCACTCTCCACTCTCTCCGAAAAACAATTATTTTCGTAGCGGCGGAATGTACGGAGTTTTAGTTCCTGTTCCAAAGTTCCGTTATATCGAACCTGCAGGGAAAAATACTAGTTGTTAACTAGAAGCCAACTCGTCCAGTTTTGCACAACTAGTTCACTTTCCGTCTATTTCCCATGTAAGCAACTGTTACTTTTAGCAGGGCGATATCCTACGAGCTGACAATTGTCCGAATCCTTCCAGCTTTGAACTCGTTGGAAACCAGTTCATTTATACATGTTGAGTTTCTAGTTCACCGAAGAAGAAAAAGAAGGAAAAAAGTAAAAATGAGTTTGCTTTCTGCAAGAAACGAGCCGCGAACCTCATGCACCACAGTGATGACCTCTAACCAATAAACAATCGTTATGATGTTTTGCGAAATCGAACCTTAATTGTGGTTGTTGACGGGCGGTCTTTGATACACAGAGAAGCGTGCGTATCCTCGGACTTCTAGAGCACTGGACACATGTCTTTCGTCAATCTCAACATAATCGATTTGATTGGGCGATTTCCGATCCGACAGATGTAAGCTTGTTCTTTTGCGGGATTTCGGTACTGCAGACAACCATATTTAAAGCCTCGGCGAAATCGATCAGCCTTTTTTTCCGACTGTTTTAATAATAAATATAAATCTGCAAGTACAATTTTCCATAGGCGTGGGGGCAGCGCTCATAGAAAATATCCTTGGTTACATCATCCTTCTCTCCCTCGGAGCTTAGCCACAAATCAGCGACATCTTGAAAAATTTCAACGTCCGAATTCAGCCTCCTTTATATGACCGCTGTAGTATATTTCACAAGGACCTACTCGCCTCCGTTCTTGTCCCATCCATCGCACTTCTTAGATGGCGGTGATGTCAGCCTATAATTTAACGATTGGCAGCGGCGTCTTGCCAATTTGGGGTCCTGACATTTGCCTAAGTGACGATCCTAAATAGGTTTGGGGAAGTCGTCATCAAAAAGGGGGTCTATCATCCGAGGCTTTGTTTGATCTGTCACTGGAGTTTATATTTCATATGGCCGGAATATAAACCGCTTGCAACCGTAACTTTGTTGGACAGATGTCGCTCTTAGTTTTCAGTGCAGTCTTAAACCAAATATTTACATGTGGCTTTACAGAAACCTATTCAGCTGTTACCCACGGCTTCCTTTCACTTGGCTTATGAGACGAATAATGGTTTCCCAGTCTTATTTTTTTGTTATTTTATACATAAAATGTCTATCAAATGTTTTTGGTTCTCCGCAATATATGATAAGTAAAGCATTTATTTCAGATATTCGGAACATAGAAGATAACTTCAATAGGGTATGGAGTGAAATTAACAGTGTAATTAAGGAGCACATTACTGAAATGCATTTAAAATTCGAATCACAGTTTTCGGTGATGGTCAGAGAAGTTCGAAAACGCGATGAAATTATTGCGAATCTTCAGTCGAAAATTCGAAATATCGAACTTAAATCATCCTCGCCTCGAAAAAAGCGGGAGCTTAATCGAGATAAACGAAACAATGTTTGGGATGATACAGTTCTAAAATCGGAAGATCACCACAGTTCTAGTTCATCACCAGAACTGCTATTTATGGTATTAATGCTTATTAAACATTGTTGAGGAAATGCATTAAAATGATTTTGTCTTCTATTTTAGCGCGGGGACTCATTGGATACGGTATTTATGTCATCTCCACCTCAAGCACAACGACATAGCTGTTCACCAGTTTTTAGTAAGCTTTATAAAGACTCTTCTGGATATATTTCGTCCCGTAGTTTGTATAAAAACAAATCAGAAGAAAATGTCGCGAAAGGGAAGCAACATAAAGGAAGATTTAGTGTTTCAGAACTCACAGGAAATTTAAATACGCAGGATAGCGTGGTGCTGGACATTGACGACAGTTCAAGTACTAGCTCTTCATCCACCAAAATGAATGTTAAGTACGAAGATATGGCACAGAAAACTACCGAGGAGAGGGTATTTGAACATGTTCACCATAACGATTGGGAGGTAAAAATGCTTGCCGCCGAAATGGCTAAACAGGAAAGGAAGCGTGCGAACTCCACTGACTTAAAATTTAGTAACTCAATTTTACGTAGGCGACGAAAGTTTAGTGACACAGAAACAGATATTAGTGAAACAGATCCCGAAGTTGAATCCCTCTCCTTATCCAGACCAAGAGCTTCAAGCTTAGATCAATTTAACTTAAGATACGGCGTTGGAAAGGACATTTTTAAAGCAATTAATATCGGACGTGATAAAAATAAACTTTGAGATTTGCCAAAATATTATCTAGGAGTTGTAACACTTATATTAATAGAATTAGAAAAATATACATGGGAGTGGTAAAAGTAAAAAAAGCAGAGATGTCATTAGTGCCCAACTTATTATTACTAAATAAATAGTGGAGGATTTTTAAAGTCATAATTGATACAAAAAAAAAAAAAGAAAAAAAAGCAATTAGCCACACTTAAAAAGCCAAAAGGTCAGTAGGGAAGAAACTTCGAGAAATTCCTAAGTCTTATTAACATAGTGCGCTTATCCTCAAAGTTCAAAATTCCTTAGGCGTTTTAACCTTTTTTTCTCTGCTCTCTCTATTACAATAGAAATATAAGGAAAATTTCATTACGTTAGTATTTGAACTCGAAAAAATAGAGTATTTTAGGTAGTGTTTTTACGCTTTGTTTGAATTATATTATTAATATATTATTAATTAATATATTATTAATTATTAACAATTTTCAAAAATTCAAATAATGAATGAAATACGTATGCATCTCAATGCCACAAAAGAAAATTTTTAGAGTTTCTCAATTTGAGGATAATTTGCCTAGGTTAGGTTAGACGGTAAAGAAGAACTCTAATTTAGTTAAAATCAATTAATACTGTTAGTGCGTTATAATAGATATTTGTGTTGTTTATAATTTCAAAACTAATTACAATTTTATAATTTAGTTCGTTTCAAATGAATGGAAGTAAAACCAAAAGTTAACACAAGTTCAATATATGTATTGAAAATGCTGTTCGTAATTATATTTATTTATTGTTACATGTATACATACATACTCATGTTAAATTGAGTTGAAGTGATGCCATTCGCCCATTGTGATACCACTGTGAGGCTTCTCCCTTTACCTTCTCAAAAGTATTTTAACAATTTTTTCTAATGCCGGCCACCATACGGTGACGCTGTAGAAAAGAACAGGCCTAACTACCGATGTATAAATCCAGCACACGATTTTTGATCTTAGACCCTCTGTTTTTTCTAGCGCCGTTTTGCAAGCTAAAGTGCAGTTATTTCGCTATATTTGACTTCGGTAGAGAAGGGGATAAGGCGGTTTAAAAGGAATCGGTTTTTGCCTCCGGGGTTTTTTGGGGTAATATCCATCCCACTGTCCTTACACCAGTTCACTACTAGTTCACTATAGAGCATTTTGGATAAGACTGCTTAAATTTTGTGGAACCTCAATTATAAATTAATGAAGAATGTTGTTAAAAGCCCCTGCAATGTCCAGGAACTCGCTAAATATACCTCCTTCAAAGCAATCGCTTTTTCGATGTACCCGACTAAATAATGTAGTGCTGAAGCGACAGACTTAGAGTAAGTGTGTGACCCTCGAGAGGCCGTCTAGGGGTAGACTTAGGCGTATAGAGGCGTCCAGCAGCCTTTCAAAGATTTTTTGAACGGAAAGATGTAATACTAATGGGCCTTAAGTCCTTCGAACTAACGTGATTGGCTATGATTCCTTTTGGGATAAAGATTTCTTTCCTTAAACGAGATTTGAAAGATAGCAAGCTATCCAGCCAGCTTGATCGGAAGCTGCTGCAAGCCTGGGACTCTTGGGTCCTCTCGTGGTGTTTTCCGAGACCAAGGCCTTTTTGTTGCTTGTAAAGATTGGTATGTTCGACACCATCAGGTTCTGGATCCTAGCGTTCAGTTGGTCTAACAGGGCCACATCTAGAATAATGCGATTTCTCATCGCACCCTATGATAGAGGCTGACTGCTTGTTATTAGGTTCTGTATGCCGCTTCAGCATACCCTGCTGTCAACTCAGCCCCATGCAACTCGTATATTATGTAAATATAAAATTTTTAATTATTTATAAATAATTGATTCATGATGCACTATTTTAAGGGTTGATTCGTAGTCGTCTAGCTATCATAGCTATCTGGCAATAAATCTATTTAATCTTTTTTGTAATTCCCTCTTCTATAATTTTTTTTTCGGATTTTTTTTGATGGACTTATCGCTAAAAGATCAGTTATAAACATTCATGCTATCTGAGGTTATATATTGTGTGCCAGGTCATATGGGCAACGAAAATAATGAGATATCCAATGGGCTGGCTAAGGAGAATATACTTTAGAACAGGAGTTATTCATGGATTTACCAGCTCTTTTCAGGGGAGTGAAGCAAACACAAGAAGTAATCTTATTTCGCCCGGCGAACAACATTTTGCATTTTTACGTTGCGTGCTTTCAATTTGCCTGAGTAGATTTCATTACATCTGCAAACGTTGGCAAACAGTCAGTTTTAATAAAATATTAAGGACATTTTTTAATCCAACAGGTTGACAGGTGAACATTTTGTTATTTATTTATAATAAAAACCAGTCATTTCTTTCTTCTTCATATGTACGTAGTGCCACCTACAAAATATGAATATGTACAGTGGTCCCAGTAGTTTAAATATGCAACGAATTTTTCTCGAAGTTGTGTTTTCAAAGTAGGCTTGTCAAAAATTCTCGAAAACCACTTAACCGGTTTTTAGTTTCCTTCGTCTGAATTATGAATGTCTAACATTATATGTATTGACATAGATAGAGAACTCTTCAGATGATTAGCTCTTTAACGTAAATATGAATAAATATGGTATTTTCTCTTGTTACGGTGGCATTGCCGACGTGTACATCGTTTTCAGTCAACATCATATCAATGCGAAATTGGTATTAGCTAAATGTACTAAGCAGAGGGAAGGGAAGACAAGCTCTCCATTAGAAAGATCAGGAGGAAGTGACTTAGTTTCAATTGGTGTCGAATAGCGAGAATATTGTCGAATTCACTATAATTTTATACAAAATTTCCTTTTTTCGGAGTTGGGTTGGTTTTTCCCCTTCTATAACGAAAATATGACGATATAACACACCTTATGAATACCCTAAATACACATATATATACACGCAAGTACATACATTTATGAGCTTAAAAACACAAATATGGGTAGAGTTCTCTAACGTGTACACGCAAAACATTTATCCAGAAGAAAGCTAACTAAACTAATATCTTTTAATATCTTTTAAATAATATGTGACTTTAGTTTTGTATATATTTATATCCCGTTAAATTCACCGTATTCGGTAAAATGACATCTTTGTTTTAACTTTCCGGGAAACTTTAAAACGAATTACTCACACAATTTTCTTAAAAGTTTTGTTCATAATAATTAACTTCACACTTTCACCGCTTCGAATTCTTAAACACACAAATTTTCCGAAGATGATAAATAAAAAACGTGAAATTCGATTTTAAAATTTCGCTTCAAATTTTGTTAGCACTTAATGCTTTTGACAATATTTTCCCATACCCTTCATTTTTAAATGTTAGAGTGCTAACTAAAGAAAATTTTGTAAAAAAATTATATTAATTTTTAATAATACAAATATTGTATTTTTGAAGTTAAACTGCTTTTCTCGATATGAAACTATTAGGATCATATTTGTATATGTATACGAGGTGTGACAATTAAATAATAATACTGATTATTACGCCGCGATTGTAGTAAACCTTGAAATTCACTTTCCCTTCTCCCGGCATCTTTCTCCTTCCCATTGATATATTTGTCATCACTCTGGCTTGTTTAGTTCGCCTACTGTGTCGTGTTGAGTAAACGTGTGTTCGTGGTGAATGTCACGAAAATGTAAAAACAAATCGCGATAAAATTTTGCGCGCTAAAATTGGAAAAGTGCATGGTGACAGTGCTACCCGAAAACTAAACGCCAAAGCTCCCATCGTTGTCTCCGCGATTTTTCGGCCGAGCTCCTCCTACAGTTTGTGGTTTTGCATCTTGATGTATTTCCTACTTACAATTGAAATAAGCCGCTTTCGAACGGCTGATGGTTTTTTTATGAGGAGCTTATTTCATGTTAGAAATACACTCAGAGGAGTTGACATCCCCTGCCGAGGGACGACCGCGAATAGAGAGTATAACTAAATTTTTTATTTATATAAATTTTTCATGTACTTAAGACACCAGGATTATTAATATTATTAGATGAACAACGTCATCCTTGAATTTTTTTAATAATATTATAAACAAAATTTTAATATCGACAAACTCAATTATTGAACCCTTCTTCAGGCTAGAATACAAAGAGAGTGAAGATTTGCGGGCTCAAGCCCCTCCCAAAATTTTTACAAAGCATATTTTGAAATGTCATACATACATAACTCAATTTTGTTAAATGCTTTGTTTTGTAGAAATGTGGCGGCCGCGGTAGCCGAGTGGCTAGCATTGCGTACTGCCCCTCGAAAGGCTCGTGTTCAAATCCTGGTGTCGGACTAACATCCAAAAAGTTAAAGAAAATTAATTTAAATAAAAAAGTAAGCTAAATTTTCTAATTGCGGTCGCTCCTCGGCTGGAAAGGTCAAACCCTCCGAGTGTATTTCTGACATGAAATAAGCTCCTCATAAAAAACCATCAGCCGTTCGGAGGCGGCTTAGTATAAACTGTAAGTCCCTTCATTTGTTGGTAAAACAATAAGATGCAAAACCACAAATTGCAAGAGGAGCTCGGAAGAAAATCGCTTCAGGGGTTACAAAGCGCAAATTATAGAATAGAACTTAACATTCTACTTGACAACATTCAAACCAACTTCTTCTATTTCTTCGTTGCCAAAAAAGTTTATTTAGAAGATCCTTAACTAATAAAACGATGTCATTTCATTTTGTTAATATGAAAAATAAACTTAACAAAATGCTTTTGTTTCGTTACGGCGACATTTGCTAAAGCGAAATGAAATTGAAACTCATCCTTATCGTTAGTTCCAAGATGGCTGCTTCTATATCAAAGTAAGCACATTTTAACGTTATTTGTTAACTTTTCAATTTAATATTCGTTTCGGGTTAAAACGATCTGTAACTTTTTTGTTTTTAATTTTTAATAAAATTGAATCAATTGTTTTGGAAGAAAATAACCAAATCACTGAAATAGAGCAAATAAAAAGAATTGTCTGCGTTCGTCCCTGATTTTGGCATTAAACATATGACTTCAATGTTGTCGTAAGCTCTTTGAACCTAGTGATAGAGCAGGACTTCGATATCTTTTAAGTTAGTTCCTTAAGTTTTATTTAAATTGTTTCACATAAAAGTACAAAACTGGCGACTTTTTTATGATATCTGAGTTAGGTCTCAAATCCGGCATATGTTGGAAATAATTTCCACCCTCGATAATGTTATAGACTCTACCAAACGTTAAACGAAATGGTATTTGCTTTTAAAAGCTTGTCTGGTGTTTTCGGATTTTAACTCCTAAAAAACGTAGTTTATACGCTATGATTATAAGAACAAAAACATTTTTTGTTTTAATTTTAATAAGAACTAAATAAATAGACGTGTTATGATTCAATATCGAAATTAGATACATTTTATTTAAAAGAGGTAAACAATTATACATACAAATTTC